TGTGTGTGTGTGTGTGTGTGTGTGTGTGTGTGTGTGTGTGTGTGTGTGTGTTTTATCTGATCCGGATGGTTACTAATTCCTTTTCTTTATGGCGGCCATTTTTGAGCGGGAACACCATGGGTGTTACAAAGTTGACTAAATCATCCAAAATGCAATGAAAGTGGTGATCAGCAATTTGATATGTTCAAATGTCTACTGTGAAGGATATCATGAAGCCTAAATGCAATCGAATGTAAAACCAAAAAGTTATAATTGATGAAAGTAGTAAATCGGTCAGATTTGACCCGAAGACAACAGGAGCGTTAAGGCTGGCAACAAAGAGGGAGGCCACACATATATGCCAATCAGATGTTTATTTAACAGTTAACTTAAAATACCTCTGAGTAATTGTGTAGTGGGCGGGCCCAGGCAGCCCTGATTGACTCCCGGTAATCTGATACCTTTTTAAGATTTTAATGACAGCAAAATGCATTTGGTTTTAAGTGCTTGAGGTTGGCATCTTTACCAAGCATGGGTTCACCCGATGTACAAATGAGTTTAATCAGCTTGAAACACTTGTGGTGAGCAGCAGGGGCTTTGGCAAAATGTACTTGTGAAGAAATGCTCATAATAATCAAAGTCTCCTTTTAATCTTGAGATCCAAGAAGCAATTTCCCTGTAGTACTTGTTTCCTGCAAGTATGCTTTCCATCTCTGAGTGCACTTCTTGGATATTTCCTTGGATTATTCTGTGATAATCACAGTGTTTGGTTGATTCTTTTTCCTCGTCATATTTAAATATGGCTTTCAAATAAATGTTGTCTTTTTCTTTTTTAAAGGGTGCTAGTAATTTGATAGCATAGCACATTGTGCTACATTCATGATGTGGTGTGAGGTTGTGGCAGATTTCTGCCTCTCTTTTTTACTTTTGCATCATCTAATTGGATGAGCTAATGACTGAGGGCCTGCAGCTGTGAGCTGTGGGCGGAGTCCTTCATTACAGCACACTCAACGTGGCTTCAGGCTGAAATGTTTCTTTTTTTAAAAGGTCTTAAATTAATGTTAATAGTGCAGTCTTGTGTATTCAGTGTGTGAGGTTACAGTAGATTCATTTGACTGATTATAGCAGACACAAGGTGGTGGATGGCTGTGATGCTCTACTCTACATCCATCAGGTGTGTTCAATTACAATCTGCTTCACAAGGTGCGCCTTCACTTCTTGATGGAAATTAAGATGGCAACCTGAGATGATACCTGCTAACCATCTATTTGTTATCTTTTGAGGAATTATAATATAATACAAAATAATAAGAAACTTTATTCATATCAAATGTTTCAAACGAGCAGTTTTCAAGTGCTACACAACTAATGATCAAAAGGGTGATGGCACACAGCATGAAAACATTTATAAAAAACACATCATATATACAGCACAACCCAAACCCCAAGGAACTGCAAGCAACACAAAATACCAGCCTTGTTAAATGTATTACAATTGTTGTACAGAACTAGCTGGCCACAGTGAGGAGATAAAACGTTATCGGTCTGTCCTCAAATACTATTGGATCCAATAGCCTGATGTGTTTTGTTCACATTTGTGATTGTCTATCCAATGCCCTTATGGTTGCGGTGATTATCAATCTTTTAAAACGCTTTTTTATTGAGTTTTTCATAAGACATTGACTCCAAATTAGGCTTACTGTGGCAGTAATAAAACATGATTAAAAAAACAAGATGGAGTTGACTTGGCATGATACAAAATAAAGTAGAATTAACACAGGAATAAGGCTTAATATATATTGTTAACTTTAATGTTAAATAATGATGATGAAGCTCACACTATCAGCTTAATACAACAGCATGCAAGCCCAGCAGTGTGTAATGCTTGGGTGGCCAGCCCCTAATCACATTAGAGAACCATACATCTTGAACTACAGCCTCTCTTCAATGTCAGAGTCTATTAGCGAGGAAAAGCCTGGTATTAATATCCCAATATGACAGTCCCTGTGTTATAACACTATCGCGTTCCTCTCAGCTATCTGATTCATATGTAAGTAGGTCAGTGGTGCCGGGCCCGGCTATGAATGGGCTCTGTTAGCTGAAGATCCATGGGCTCAAAGCAATTACACATTAGCATGGGGCTCTGTCCCAAATTTCCCTTCTAACGTCTGCAGCTCGACCCTGTAGCTCTTCCCAGACCACACATTAACAGCACTCCTTAACATTTAATAATTAAACTTTAATGTACTGTATAAACGGTGTCACTGAATACTTATATATCATAGATTTTGTAGCTTTAAAAGTAATCAAAGAATGTGAGAACCAAGATTAGTTATTACATTGAAGTATATAAAAGCAGCTGGGAACAGTTTGCTACCACAATAATGAATCCCACAATATTATTAGTCATATTTTTGGATCATCCCATCCTCAAAATGGAATTGACATGACAATAAATCCATGGCACCAATATTCCAAACAACATTCACTTTTATGTTGCAACCAGACGAGCTGCTATTTTAATTTATTTGAGTCCGCTTAAAATATGCTTGATTCATCATTTATTTTAAAAGAAACAATCTCCAAAAATTACTGCTGACTGACTTTGTTACAGAATCTATTAATCGACATTTTCTTTTGTTTAGTCAACAATATCTGATCTTAATTTAACTTCACAAAGCTGCTGTTCTTTGTGAAAGTAATCAAAAGTAAAGACTCATTTTGGATGGGCTTTTCAAGTATTCTTTTCTCATTTACCTATATTTGAAAAAACATATAAACAACACATGAATGCCCAAAACCAACACACACACACACACACACACACACACACACACACACACACACACACACACACACACACACACACACACACACCACACACACACACACACCACACACACACCTTATATTACCTACAAAGGACCATCACAATATTCCTACCAAGTGGGGACCTCTGTTTTTGGTCATTTAAAAAAACAGAAATAAAATACAAAATGTACTTCAAAGGGATTTTCAAGCCATTATACTGTAAGCCTACTTTTACATTTATAAAATTAAATGGCCAAGAGTTGACTTTTATCCCGTCGTCACACACATACTGTATACAACACCTTCTGGAAAAGTCTGGAATTTCAGCTTATCCTTAAGTCAGAGACATAAAAGCAAATTGCAACACATATCATATCAAAGCATTGAAAATAGGGTTATAAAAGAAAAACGTAATCAATATATAAACACAATTGCAATCAACAGTTTTACGAGATTTAGAAAAATGCAACCCCAAGATTTTTCACATTAATGCTAAAATGAAAAGTTAATAGCTTGCAGATCCTCCATATAAATAACCATAACAGGCTCATGCAACCAGTTTGAATCACAGTGGTGATGGTGTCTTTCAGTCTTTGAGGATGCTTTTCTTGCTAGATCGACGCCCATCAAGCAGCCGGAGAATTGAAAAGTCCTCTGAGCACCCACAGAGAGCCTCGTAGGGTGAAGTAAAAATATAAATTGTTAAATCACTCAGGGAATTTCACATTTGCATATCTATAAAACATATTCTAGCACTTAGAGAGAGTGAAGGAAAGTGAATCACGCACACATTTTTTTATTTTACCATCATTTTAATGCTACTTTCATTTAATTTCAGAGAGAAATATTGTGTTAATACTATAGACATAAATGTTCTTAATTTGTTAGTTAACAAAAGGATGTATCATTCTATAATAATACAACACTTTGAAAGGAGCTGTTCTGTAAAACAAGTACTTTTACTTTTGATACTTTGACTAAATCTTGGTGATAATACTTCTGTGCTCTTCCTTAGCTACAGATCTGAGTACCTCCAAGTGTATCCTTGAGGAGCTCAGTTGGAACACTTCAGTGTTCGGGTGATATCTTTCCTCCACTTTATATTTTTCTAAAGCAGTTTTTCTCTTAGCACATGTGCATGATGTCCCATGGTGACCTATTCTTCTCACATTTGAATCTGCTCTTGTAACATTTTTCACATACTTATTACACTTGGGTGCTGTTGCAGTCTTTTGACACATCACCTGTTGCCATAATCGGAGGTAGCTAAATCCCCACCATGCTGTTACTTTTCCTTCTTCCCATCCTCAACCTACTTTGATGCCCCACTTATCACCCCTGCATTGTAAGTAGTTCTGTGCTTAGATAGGGGATTAGCTTTTTCGCTTTAGTTTCTCACCCAGGATGCTGCCTCAGTAGAATCCATGCATCAAATCCATCCGGTAAACACGGCATTAAATATTGATCATGGTATCATGTACAACAACTTTTTTTTGTTTTGCTGTGCTCGGCTTAATGTGCGCTGTGAGAGGTTTTTCTGCTAATGAGACAGCAGAAGTGCTGCAAGTCATCTTCACCACCAAAGAGTTGATCAAAGCTTAAAGATTACAGATTATTGAAATGAGTGGTGCATGGAGGGGCCAAAAACAGGAATATCTTTTTAATGATCACCGAGAAAGGTTTGCACAAAATACATAGTGTTAAATATTTATTTCCTGGCTTATTATAATGCAAAGAGTGCAGCAAAATGAGCTTCAAGTGATAGAAGTACATACATTAACTGTCCAAAGACGCAGAGGCAGGGATGTTCTTTGAGGGAGGCATCAGCGGAGAACAATCCTCGATGACAGCGTGTCTGATCATGAGGTGCAGCCTTAGATCTTTTTCCTTTTGGAGCATCTGTGGAGCAAGTTGTTTGACACTTTCGAAACATACATGACAGTGTAATGAATAAGGCCTTACCTGTTATGCATCTTAAAGAGACCAATCATTAATTTAGCATATTCAACTTACATTCTCTCACACCTAAGAGGTTGTTAACATAAATACTATATTTATATATATATATATATAAATTATGTTTATGTCGCCAAATGCATCCGTAAAGGACCCATTAACATGTTGTGTGTAATAGCATGTAGTATACTTATTTGACCAAGCTTTTGTTGTCCTGTGTGCATGTAAAGAGGGGGCCTCTTACACTTATGCTATGGTATCATTTAACATTTATTTTTTATTTTAAATAATACAATAAATATACTACAATAGAACATTGGCTTTGGTAGAGTTACAAGTTCATCATTTTCCCTCAACTTCACAATTGTGGACATGACCTTTATTCATCCGTACCATTAGAAAAGGGATGTTTCATGATGAATAAAATGTGGACTAGAGATCATGTCACTACAAAACAGCAAGAGAAAAAAACATTACAATTTCATGCATACAGATAGGTTTTAATGCTTCAAAAGACATACAAGAGTGGATGGCCACAGTAAACTTGAATTTATTGACATAAAAACCAATATAACTTCTATCCTTTTATCCTTACACAGGTTTGACAAAGACTGTGAAAAACAAACAAACAGACAGACAAACGGAAATCTACAAAATGAAAGGAAACAAAAACAATGGCAGCATCACTGCTGGTTCTGGACATTTACAAAAATGTTGTTTCTCCTTTTTCTTTTTGAGAGGAAAGTGTTAAATTTGGGTGTACTGCATCACAATGAAAAATAAAGCCAAAGATCTACAAGCATATTGAGTTATCTTAACAGAAATGGTTCAAGTCACATATTTAAAGATTTAAAAAACAGAAAACCTATGTATGAAGAGCGGTAGAATTCTGTGGTAGATACTAGTGGTCATAAGCATAGAGAGTGCATAGTTTAAACAAAGAGCATAATTACAATAAGGGCAAAAACAAAAGACCAACAAGCAATCTTTGATGCTGCATGAGCCAACGCTTTCATCTGATGACCTGCTTCTACTGTGAGAACAAATACTTTTCAAGTTGTTTCCCATTTAAAGAAAAAGATTTCAAGCCACCATGGCCCTTAAAGCTATATTAATATACCTGAAAACCTTTGGTGGAAGCGTTTAGGGTTTCATACACCAAACAAAACTTATCCCATATCCCTTTTTGGATGCTTTGGCCCAATCACAACATGTCCACTTCTCAACTTCATCAGTTTGATGTGGCACAGATGATCCAACACCAAGAGCCATGATGCAGCTTCTTAGAGCAATGATATGCAAAGCCAGCAGCACCATCTTTCCTCTCGTTATTCCAACATTTGTACAAGTTTGTGCAGTCCGCTGAAGCAGGAGACAACATACGCCGCCATGCTGCACTGATCTGTGAGTGGATGTGTAGAGAAATGGCATGCAAACACCACTGCTGAACATTTGAAGAAAAACAAGTAAATAGATGCAGCAAAGATCCACCTGCGTCGGATGTGGTGGTAAAGAGTCAAGGGGGCTGCTGGCGGTGGAATATTATCACCACACATTTTCTTTCATTCAAACAACACAAATTAGAAAAACACATACTGTAGCACCACAGAAGAGAGAAAATAGCACCTAGGATTTGATTTCTTTGTGTTTTCATTTCAATGTGACATCACTTCCCATTGCATAGTCAGATAGATGTGTATTTGAAGAAAAAAAAAATAGAAGCTGTTTATTAAGTTAATAATATTAACCACCAAGCTGGGTGTTCTGTTCAGAGGGCACAAAAGGAGGAATGTATTTTTTGTGGTCGTTCGTTATGCAAATCACATAATATCACATAGCTTGTTTTCGTCTTTTATTTCCATTCTGTTCTTAAATTACAACAAGGTGTGCTCCACAACCGCAACAAGACAGGACTTCCCAATTTGTTTCTTTTGAGTTTTTTTAATTTACAAGTCGAATTTCCTCACTTTTGATATATTTCTACCATTTTCTTTTTTAGATGTTACCCCTGTATCCATCGTATCCTACCTCACAATGAAAAGGTCACATGCATGTTTTGAAGCCAGAGGCAATACAAATTACCATGAAAAATATACAGAATGTACTTACAAACATAAAAATTATTTATATATATTTATATATATATGGTCCATTCCAAGGGAATGGGGAGAGAATTATGCACAAACAAAGCTCCCGTAGTGAATGAGCGAACAAAACAACAAAGGACAAGTGGAATAAGCCGGGGAGAGGCGGGAAAACATGAGATCAGAACTGAAAGGAAAACAAAGAGCCAAATCAGATGGAGTCCGTGGCAAATGCAGCGAGCGTCTGGAACGGTTGGAGCTCTCAGGGTCGCCTTCCATGTCTAAATCTAAATGGAGAATGGTGGCATGGGGCTAGGGTTGTTTGTGTAGAAGGCAGGATCTGACATCCAGTTTCAAAACGTGCATGTGATGGAGAAGGCACACTGAGGTTTCAAGGTTATTTTCCTCTATTCCTATAGAATTTCACTTGATTTCATTTTTACTCATACTTGTTGCTTTATGGAAAAAAAAGTTACTTTTTTACAAATAGAATTGTCCTATTCTTTTTCAATAGTTTTTTTTTTTCTCTGAGAAAAGAAATATATGCTTTTTTTTCTCCATTTGTTCAGTAAACAGTCTTAGCCGATGAAACAGACGGGGCCCACTTCAAATCCAAACTTCTGCGCGGAGCCGCCAAAGTCGTTGAACATAATGTCCACAATAGGCACCTGCTCCACCTTTGGCGTGTTGATCTCAAGTACTGTCTTTTCATAACCCTTTTTCAACTGTGGAAGAGAGAAGAACACAGCAGGAGCGAGAGTTAGTGAGGAATAATAATTTCTTCAGAATAAAGAAGATCACACACTCTTTTTGACTGAGCCTCATCAAAGACAACAGAAACATAATTATCAAAGGATCCCCCCTCTCTCTTTGACTTACCGCACAGCCGTCGACCACTGCGCGGATGTAGGGGTTGTTATCGTAAGACATCTCCTCATCGTTGGAGCCCAGGAAGCGGATGGCCTTGTCGTAGCCGTCCTGCTCCTGGTCGTGCCAGGCCACCGACTGGTAGCAGTTGTACGTCATGTTCTGTCTGGCAGCCGCGCTCAGCAGCCGCATGAAGGTCATCTGGACCACGCTGACGGGGCTACCCTCGGCATCCACATAGGAGAGCTGCGGAGAGGAAACCAGATGGCGTTGAGCATCGGAAAAGTTAACACCAAGAGAAGGGACCAGTGTGAGGAACTGAGGGGGGGTTATAAAGATTCATTGAACACATCATCATGTCTGCGCTGTGCACTGTTTCTGTCCTTTGGGAGCCATTTTGATTACATTTATGACTAGTAATTAGTATTCCTGTTTTAGTGCTGTGTTTGGATTTATAGGACGTATTTCTTATTGATAAGTGTTAGAAAAGGACGTGTCATCCGAGGATACAGAGTTAATATACAACCATGTTCTGGGAGAGCACAGACCGAACTAACAGAATGAGATTGTTTGTATGTATCAGAATAAGAATCAAGTGTATTGCCAGGTACGTTTACACATACTAGGAATTTGCTTTGCTGTCTGGTGGTGCGAACATAAACAATCTAATGTTATCTGATCATAAGAGGATGAGCTTAATATATTACATTATTATTATTATTGTCAACAAATCCCATACTTTACGACTTACCTACCGTGGTTTTACACTCAGCTTTAAGCTCTATTAATCCCTTTTTAAGATTTAAATCTTTAAAAGCAGGGTGCAATATAAAAAAAGATACATCTTAATTTATTCTCAGTGGGGATATTCAGAAAGACAGAAATAAATACAGCTAAATGAAGAGAGAAACTCATGGTACACTAACTAAACTAAAATAGAAGAACCTACAGTATACGGCAGCATGTTGAGACAAATGACATGGTACAGTCCATACAAAAAGTCATATAAAATATCCCTATCATTTAAAACTGGCTGATTTCCTTGACAATGAAACAGCTGCGTTATTCACTTTAAAGCAAATGTTGAAACAGGTATAAAAGGTGACTTTGTTGGAGAATATTTCCACCTGCAGAATGGCACTACTGGTGTACAGTATTTAGGATTGATTTTAAATTACCCACAGTGCCCCTGTTCATGTTAATGTCAGCCAGTGCAACTGTGAGTCTCACTGGTGCATGTAATGGAGCTCTGTTTGTATAATTACCTCATTAGTGGTTTTGCGCTTTTTATGTGGATTTGTTAACAATAAAAAATATAAAAAATGACCCAACCTTAGGTAATTTTGTAAAAATGGGAAAAAGTCTCTAGGGTAAAGATGAGAGTGAAAAACAGTCCTTTTTCTTAAATGCTGATGCTAGAAGCATAACTAAACTCCTCATTTAAATGTTGATTTGTAATTATGAAAAATATGTATCTATCCAATATCAGTAAATGACGGTAAGTGCATACAAATGTACTTATCTTAATAGGGAATATGTTGCAGTAATGCTTTGCTAATTGCCTTGTAATCAACCTAGAATTAACCTACATTTTGACATGATAAAGGAAACAAATATTATCCTCTAATCCGATTGTAGCTCTTATCATAGCTTAGCTTGTTATCATAAATGAGAAGACGGAGGACTGTGAACCAGTCACGGTTCAGCTACATGTCCACATGTGACTATCTACATACCAACCATCAGGAATCCATTAGATCCACAAAGTGGCTTCGCCTTTCAGACAAACAGGACTGACTGAGAGTGGAGGACATGCAGCGTTCACACCATGCAGCCGAGCAGCAAACCGTCTGAGTCTGGACGTCTTTCTTGACTTGTTGTTCACACACACACACACACACACACATGCATATACAAACCCAGAGTACCGACACTCTTGACATGAACAAAGGGAGATAATCATCCTCTTCATTCAAAGATGCTTTGTCTTCTTTTTTTGCTGTGAATTGTACATGCTATTGATGAAGTAACACGTACAAAACACTATGTTTGTATTCATTTGGATTTGCTGCTGTGAACATGTATTTGTTCATGGCCTCTCTGTGGCCATATAGTGGTTATTAATGTGTGTGTTGTGATTATAGTAGCCTTGTCTTTGTTTATATTTTGACTTGATTAGATTTTGTCATTTTGTTTTCTTTCTTGTTTTTATTTCCTTTTTATGGTTTTGCTGTTTGAACAATAGGTTAGGACCCCCTTGACCCTAACATGAATCCTAAATAAAGACATTTCAGTTAAAAATGTTGTGCCAAATGTTGATTTAATTAGCTAATGAATCACTAGATATAAACAATGAGGCTTGCAATATGTCTGAGTGTCGGTATGTGGCTCATCAAAGTGCCGCTGCTCTTCTTCCTCAGAGCGGCCGGGTAGTCCCATGCATTTCTGACCTACCCCGCCACTCACCCCCCCCCACCAAGGCGCAGCGTGTGGATCCAGCCCAACATCGCCAGGGAAACATTACCTCTTTATCGTCACAGGCGCAAGTCAACAGTGACTGAATACCCAGAAGCCCCTGGGTGGTGACTGAGTGCCTGACCTGTTTGACTCAGAGCTGCTCCGCCGGATGTAAGTAGTGTTTAAGAGAGACGCTGAGAATGTGAGTGCAGCTGAATGGCTGCAGCAGGGAGGGAGTGACACTAATCCCCACCCCCCCCCACCCCCCTTGTGGAGTATGGATGATCTGCTAAGGCGTCATCTTTGACTAAAAAAATAAGATGTGTAAAGGAGAGAAGTGTCCCTCTCAGGTGTTTTTAAATCGACTTAGCATGGATATCACTTGTTGAGTCACGGGTCGAGGCACGCAGTCACGAGGAGATGCTCTCTGAATGTAGCAGAGGTGTGCCAGAGTAGTCAATACATTTAAACAGTAGGTTTTCCATTTGTTAAACTCCATTAAATGCCAAATATTACCTTTATACTCCACAAACCTCTCCTTCATTTCCTCGTGAGAGCATCACCTACCTCTTATTGTCTGACTGCAGGTGATTGCAACTTGTTTGGAGTCATGCACCACGATGAAGTAAACACCAACAAGCAGGAGAACGTACTTTGTAGAGCAGAACCAGAACCATGCAGAGCCTCAGGAACACAGAGCCCCGGCCGGAACCAGGACTCTGGGGACCGCAGGCAGGGCCACTTACCAGGGAACCTCTCTTGTAGTGACTATACCATGTGCCTGGCGAGTCTTTGGGCCATTTTGCCATTTTGCTCTGTAAAATATAAGAGGCGTTCAGGAAAGGGAAAAGGACTTGGGAAGTCAGGAGTCTGGCTTACCAGTTTACCACGTTTGAATTCACTGAACCAGGAGCCGGGATTCTCCTTTACCCAGGATGTGAGCCTAGCCTGGGGGCATGAGCGACAGGAGGGAAAAACAGCAGTGTTAAAGAGAGGAAACACATCTGACAGAAACACATCCTCGCTTTTCTTTTTCTCCTCCCCTCTTCCTCCTTCTGCTTGTCCTTCGAGGAGTCTTCGGGACCTGAAACAGCATTCAGCAGGATCAACCAGACCAAGCGGTCCAGGGAAGAACATAATAGCGAGCCATTATGCCATTTTGTATAGTACAAACTGTAGCTGGCAGCGAGTTGCTGCTGAGAAATTCATGAGTACACAGTGATTAATTAAGAAATGATCGCCTGCGAGGGAGCTCTTATACCTCGGCCTCCATCCCTGCTGTTCGGTGTTAGTGTGTGCAGCCATGGTGCACTAACTTTGTTATGCCATTAAAAGCTGTGATGTGGCCAACAGGGCACGGCTCTAATGATCCCAGCCGTGACAATGATGAATTTGACTATAAATAGATAGCAGGGTTTGATATGGAACTGTCATTGATAGCTTAATGCGTTAATGACTGATGAGCCGGGGATCACTTATCGCTGGGAGATGGCATACATTAGACCCATGCCTGCCTTCAAGGTGACATTCAGTTGCTTTCAATGGAGTGGACAAAAGTTTTCGTGACTTTATCTGTTTCCAAAATCCATTAGCATGTGTCTGCTTTTCTGTACAGTGCGTGGACATTATGTACTCCTATGATAAAAGTGCCAATCCGAACGCACGTGGGTGCGTTCGTAGGGCTCTGCACGGAGACTGACAGGCTTTTTCTTTTCACCCCTCCACACAAATGAGAGCAGTCCGTCACCGGCGCTCTATAAAAAGTCTGCTTCATTATTCTAAGCTTAAGCAAACTCCTGCTCCTCTGAGGCTCGGTGAGTGGGATCATTAAAACGGCTGTAGCACTGTACTATGACACAACCTCCACCCGTCAGAAACACTGTTCCCAATGTTTCTCCTCTCCTCCACACACTCTTGCATAATGAACTGACAATCTCCTCCATGTGTCTGTCAGCTGCCAAAGGGTCTACGGGTTCTTAATGGCATTCTAAAAATGGCACTGAGACAACAGTATGGATTGGCATGTGTTTAAATGAGGGCGTTTTCACCCTAAGGTTATCAACCGTCAAAACTAAACTGAGACTTAGCAACATCACCTGGTCCCTTGTGGGAAATGCAGGGAGAACTGTTCTCCCACATCCTCTTGGTAATCTCATGGAGGCTAATTACATACATGACTTAGCACAATAGAATCACTGTTGCAAACTAGCGCTGTGTTGAGATGTGGGGGATATTTATACTCAGTCCCAGATGTGAGGAAAATCATACACTTATCTGGAGTTTTCAGCTTGTGCTCGTCTGTCAATCAAATCACAAACTGGAGGATTATTATAATAATAAAATGTAGTTCCTTTCTCTTTTTCATTACACATCATGTTGCTAGCACTAATCCAAAAGCTGCCTGTCTGTTTTCTGAGTGTGTGTGCAGGTGTTTGTGTACGCAGAGCCAGACTTACCCCTTCAGACTTCTTATCTGGGAAGATGCAGCTCTCTCCTCCTGCTGTGAAGTTGCAGTAAACCTTGAAGGAGTCCCGAGAGCAGCCCTGGTTTGGATCAATCCAGTACTCACCTTGAGGAATGGAGACAGAGGGAGAGCAATTATTGAGAGGTACACGATTTAAAGTCCATACTGAACTCCATCGGCTGGTCAATATAACAATACCCTTCAAAATGTATATTCTATGGTTATCGTTTGTTTAGTAGCAGTCTATTATAGTGTTTTGTACTCCATAGATTAACTGTATTCTTTATATGCATATATCTACTGTTTATTTTTTTATTTTGTACATGCTGCTGTCTCTGTTTCCCAGTTTTGGATTAATAAAGTATATCTAATTTAGTCAAATAAAATCTATTGGTTTAAATATATATATATTCAAAACGATAGGAAAATGTATATACTAAATGTATTTCTATCGCAATATAGGCTAGACCTATTATTTATTATTAATCATATTATTATATCTACGTTTTTGGATAGAAAAGGGAAAGCACTAGATCCTTCCAAATGGATGCTGGAACTTTGGAAAGGTTGATATTTTTACTATAAAAATAACAAATAATACATTATTTATTTTCTGCCTATTGACTTAACCCCCCTTTGTTTCCCCCGACCTTTAAGTGAGGGTCATGCATTTGGAGATGTGTATTCTACTGTATTTGCAGTGTTTCATATAAATCTGGCTTGAAGCTAGACTGAGGCTTTCAGGAATACAACAGAGCTAAAATGTGCATAGCCTTTGGACAGAGCCCATTTCCTTTCATTTCTAGAGAGCTGCTGTGTGATAACGGCCGTTTCATTTCAGATCAATTAAAAGCCGTGGCGAGGGAGGGGAGGACGAAACAATGGGACCTCATGCCTCATTTCAGACGTGTAATACAAACCATCGGGGAAGTCGGGGGTGGCAGAGCTGCAGGTCTTTACAGGTACGCGCCGGGTTGCTCTGCGTTCCCATCGGATGCTTCATCTGCTCGATCTCCAGCTTCAGGGAGTTGAGCGAGCCAAAGATTTCCTCATGCCGTCTTCGTAGTCCTTGTAGTTGGTATCTGCAGGCATGTCGTCCATCACCTCGCTGGCATCGATGTTCCTGCGAGTTCTGCCCTTCACGTTGGACATCATGGGGAGGGGGTGGATGACATCGCCGGGGGGGGGCCCTGTGATGGGGTGAGGAAAGGAGGGGAGACAAATGCCAGTCAGAGATAAGGGAGGAGATTATACAAATGTCTGGAGATAATGACTCACACTGAAGGATACGTTATGAAATGATGATTGAAAACAATTCAGAAGTCCTTGACTTACAGGTTGGCCAGGAGGTCCAGATGTACCGGTCTCTCCCTTCGGTCCAGTTTGACCCTGAACAGGACAAATGAAATGATTTTGTATGAGTGTTGTGATTCACAATTTTGAACAATAATACTCTCATTTATCTTGAATCAACACGGAAGACTTCTCTTTCTGCCTCTGCCTTTTATTAAATCAAATAATAACTGAAATCTTACACTGCACTGTATCTTTTATTCTTGTATTTTATATCTGTATACTCTATTTTAGCTTGTTTTTTCTGTTTTTATTGTCTGGGCTTTTAAGTGAAGTACCTATATTTTAAAAAGTCATTTTCTAATGTGTTGCTTTTGCACCATATTTTAATGCTTTAAATGTTTTCATGCTTTATTTTCTAAATCGATTTAAATTGCCTTGAGTTGATGTGCTATATAAATAAACTTGTCCCGCTTTGCCTGACAAATGAAGTAGTGTCATTATGGCCCACTAGCAAATGCAGGCATCAAATATAATGCTTTTCAAAATGAACTGAATGTAGCAAATGAGACATAGTTTTATGTGAATACATGCTAATTTCTGGCTGCTGCAGATGTTTCATTTGAAAGCTTTCATCTGCTTAGTAATTGTTACTTATTGGATGCACATTTCTGTGAAATACTTACAGATGACCCTTTAGCTCCTTTAGGACCAGATGGACCCTGAAGACAGAAATGGAAGGAGGAATCAATATTAGCCCAGGCATTACAAGCTATTCACTTACACACACACAGTAGTACAACATGTATGATGAGTCTTACAGGTAGTCCAGGGGGGGCCGAGGGGACCGAGAGGACCTGAAGGACCGGCAATACCCTAAAGGACAAAACAGAGAGTGTGAATCCATAACGGCTTTGTGAAAACAGAGGAAGCTTAAACATGATGCAACTGTTTTAACTAGAATGAGGGATCGCGACAACAGTTTGCCTGTGCCCAAGTTAATAAAACACCAAAGAAGAAGAAGATTATTGTTACAAATACAGATCAGAATCAAACAATAAAACATATATCAGTCCTAAACATGATTCATTTCCCTCAATTTTGACTGTTTTATTTGACTATGTAGTTAAAATGAAATGTTTATCCTGCAGAAGTTTACTGTCAGAAAAGATCAATCAAGTTTCTTTCTTCCCCTTCCTTCTATCTCTATTTACTACAACTTCAGTTACTCATTCTTTTAGACTTCATGTGGTATCAGAAAGAACACAGTTATTCTCTTCTCTCTTAAAGAACATTGTGTGGGCCTTTTAACGTGACTGCAGCGTCGTTTAGTTGACTCACATTGTCTCCCTTGGAGCCATGTTGTCCTGGGGGGCCGGGCAGACCACGGTCACCCTTCTCTCCCTGTTCTCCTGGGGGTCCGATAAGACCAATAAGCCCAGGATGGCCCTGAGGGTAGAGAACAACACACACACATATTATCAATACAGCAGTCAATAATACAGCAAACATTAATAACACATCTATCTGGCAGAGGCGCTGATAATTAGGGTAATGATTGGATGGCTGGAGGCGAACAACAGATCTAATCAATCTGTTAGTAAATGGGTCCATTAGTCTTAGTGTTAAGCTTGTGCTATACAAACATTCAGCTGGACAGGCGGCTCACCTTTTCTCCTTTAACGCCAGAATCTCCTTTCATACCAGGTAAACCAGGAGGACCCTGTGAACATTGAAAAAGAATACATGTTAAAGCTTCAGCTCAGATTGTACATATTATGTGAGTTCAAAGGCCAGGAGCTGCTTTCTACTCACCATGGGTCCCGGAGGTCCATCTGGGCCTGGAGAACCAGGAAGACCTTGCTCTCCCTGCAAAGAAATACCAATTACAGCGTGTTCGTACTCGGCTCATGAGAAAACACGTCCCTATAAATAGCCCGGGCCCTTTACAGTATGTTCAGCAGTATATTGAAAAGCGTTTATGTGCACCTGCTCTGTAAGCTGTTTTAACAGCAACATCCAGATATGACTGTGATAAATGGGTGTCGGTGAGAATCACTTTACTTACAACTGGGCCAGGGATACCCCGCAGGCCTTCAGAACCGGGCTTGCCAGGTGATCCTTGAGGACCAACGGGGCCTGTCTTTCCTTGGGGACCTTCCAAACCAGTCTCTCCCTTTAACACAAAAACAAAAATAAACACAAACATTAGATTCTTGCTCATTTCCTGGAGACTGGACATCGTTGGTGGAGGTTAACTGAAAAGAGATTATTGTTGAATGTGTTACCTTAGTTCCCTTCTCTCCTTGTCTTCCCTCAGGTCCTGATATTCCATGGGGGCCCTGGAAAAGAAAGATGAGAACATTTTAGCTTTAGTAAATTGATATTGATAACATGAAGCAACGACAAGAGAGACTTTACTCACTCTCTTTCCTGGGGGTCCAGAGGGACCAGACTCTCCAGTGGGTCCAGGAGAACCCTATGTTTTAAGAAATGAAAATATCATTTATTTTGTGATTTCAATGGCAACTTTCTTAAAAAACGATTATTGTTCGGCACATTGGTGCACAGCACTCACAGCTTGACCAGCCTCTCCGTCATCTCCCTTGTCACCAGCGGGTCCATCTAATCCCTGGATAGGAGATAAAGAGCCTCAGTTCTACTGCCTTGCATCAAAAACACACTGTAAGGACAATATTGCACTTTTTATGAACTCATACGTACAGCTGCACCGGGCTCTCCAGGGGGACCAGGGTCACCAGGGAAACCACTTGGACCCTGAAAATCAATAAAACTTACTTTTACAATTTTCAGAGAGAAAATAAAGTTTGATCACACAGCCTTTGTGTGGGGTTACATCACTTATAAGAGAACAATGGTTTTTCTGAAGTAGGGTAGAAAAAGGCTTACGGGGCTTCCTTTGGGACCGTCATCTCCAGGGGGACCCTTAGGGCCGGGGGGGTCCTGATGTACCAGCTGGACCAGACTCTCCCTTCTCTCCTCTCTCTCCTCTTGGACCCTGGACAAAAACACAGTCATTGAGTTATTCTTATTCATGAATGATAGTGGAGAACAAATGAAAACTTCATAACAACATGTTATAACATTATACTTTATGCTCTTTACAGATAAACTGATTGGTGGAAACAAAATGATTGGTCCTTTTATTTTTAGGATGGACTTATTACGGCTGCAACTGATTGTTTAGTTAGTTCAATGGATTCATCTTTTTGTCTTTTAATTGTCAGAAAATAGTGAAAAATGTCAAATCAATCAATCCACTTTCAATTTGTCAGTCCAAAACCCAACAATATTTAATTTATCAAGAGACTGAAATACATTTGACAATTAATGAATGATCAAAAAAGTTGGCAAACGTTTTCTTTCTTGTGTGACGAATCGATAAGTTAACCAATCATTGCAGCTCTAGAACTAAATCATGTAAATATGGAGGAAGAAAACCAGGTAACTCACTGGTCCTCCGAGTTCTCCCTGAAGTCCGGGCACTCCTGTTTCTCCAGCAGCTCCCTGATAAGAGAATGAAGGGGGGGGATATTAGAGGGAGAGAGAGAGACACATACATGATCCAGAAAGTGATTTGTTGATCCAACTTGGTTCCAAAAACCCCATCATTTACAGCAGCCCCCACTGTCCCGGTGCCCTTGTCACCCATATGGGTATAGAAAGAGATGACACAAGAGATTTCAATCCATCAAGTGCAGAAAGATCGGGAGGCTGGAGCCAGGGCGGGCGCTGACCTCGCTCTTCTCCCTGGACCCTGCCCATATATCTTGTCCTCGTCCCCCTGCCTTATTGGATAGTTGCTCTGTTGAGTCACCTATACAGCGGGCACTATCGTTATTCACTGTCACATAAACCTAGCGTCCTCCTGCTGGGCTTTACCGCAGAATCAGCCTGCCACACCTGCTTAAGGGCTGAATATGAGCTCATGTCATATCTGGGAGGGGGGCCAATCGATAGCAGAGCTCTGCAGGGCCGACGCCAAGCTGAGCGGCGATGCGCTGTGATAAGCATATCCACATTTTCTCAAGCAAGAACAAGAGCTCTGTATTGTCAGCTGATACTCTGAATTAGTGTCTGGATGCCTTCCAACGCAGCTCTTGTTCATGTCAGGAAATCCACTCTAAGCAGTTGCTATGCCTGTTAAAAGCATGACTGATCCTCCTGTATTAGAAGCTTGTCTTTATGCAATGTTGCATCCAAGAAGCTGTGCACAGGCTTCCACAGCATCCTCACAACAACCTGCTGACGACAGGGAGGCCAAAAGCATGAGACAGCTGCTCGTCACAGATATTTCACGGGGATGTGTTTACAGAAAAAAGAAGCCTGAGCTCATTTGCTTGCCAGCTCTCTGCGTTGGCCAACAAAATGCCAGATCAGCTAAAGAGCGATTAGCCAGAAGACCGCTGTGTTTGTTTGCAGCGGGGAAGGACAGGCTATCCTCGGGGAGATTACAAAGGAAGCCAAAGGTGATTCTATTGACTGAACCAGATAAAACAAATCACACTATCACTACAGAGAGAAGGTGGTGAGAACAGAGCTGCAGTCCAGCGCCAAAGTAGGCCTTTCATAATGAAAACACAGCAACACATAAAAAGAGCTGATTTTATTGTGTTGCGTTTAAATAATGCATTTATTTTCCTGCAAGTAAAGTGCCTTTGAGTTGTAATTCTTACTCCCTCAACCCAGCAACTGTACTGTCGGGGATGGCAGCACGTCCACTAGACTCGCTGTGCGTCTGTCACACTGCGGCAGGGAAATATAATCGTGTCTTATTTAAAAGGGTATCATATAAATAGGCATGGGAAATATGAATGGATGCAGAAGCCTTTTTAAAAAGAGGTATCATCCACAGTCTTTACCGCGGATCAGTCAAC